ATTTTTTTTTTTTGTTGGGGGGGGGGGGGGGGGGGGGGGTTTAGATATTTACATTCTTATCCTTTGCACAAAAATGTACAATTTTTTTTGGTGAAATTGTAACCATGTTTTAAGTATGGACATGCATATTCATGTAAATATATAATAAAATGCAGTAAATTTATTACAGAATGTTCATTTTATTAAGATTGGCTTTAAGTTTGCTTGATTCTCTTTTAACAAAAAATAAATAAAATCTAGAAACAATTGCGTGATTGTTCTTAATGCTTTATAATTCACTTTATAATTAAACCAAGATGTGGTGTTCATCAATTCTTTTCTACTGTGGTGATCACAAATTCCTTTCTACTGTGGTGTTCATAAATTATTTTCTACTGTATTTACTACTATGGAGTTTTTAAAAATGTTTATGAATTGACTCAAAACAACAAACAAAAAAACAAACAAAATATTTCTGCCTTTAAGTTCGAGCAATTTAAAAAAAATAAACAGAAAAATACACTGTTTGCACATTGCATGAAATTTCTGTAAAGCTGTTTCAGTTCTATTAGAAATTCAAACACTGGGCTGACTCTGTAAAGCTGTTTCAGTTCTATATGAAAGCCAAAGCTGTTTCAGTTCTATTGGAAAGTCAAACACTGGGCTGGTTCTATAAAGCTGTTTCAGTTCTATTGGAAATTCAAACACTGGGCTGACTCTGTGAAGCTGTTTCAGTTCTATAGGAAAGTCAAAAACTGGGCTGATTCTGTAAAGCTGTTTCATTTCTATAGGAAAGTCAAAGCTATTTCAGTTCTATTGGAAAGTCAAACACTGGGCTGGTTCTGTAAAGCTGTTTCAGTTCTACAGGAAAGTCAAACACTGGGCTGATTCTGTAAAGCTGTTTCAGATCTACAGGAAAGTCAAACACTGGGCTAATTCTGTTATTGGTTACTTGTGTAAAGAGCTGGACTATTTAGGAAGTATTCAAGTCAGGAAAAATACAGTTGACAAAGATCTTGAATGCAAACACTTTTATTTCATTCTCAGGGATACATAGAAATGTCAATCACTAAAAATGGCTTCTTGAAAAGTTCTATGGTCACTTTATGTTTGTGTTCTCTGAAACACACATCATTCCATTTATGACACATTATTCTGTTCAAAACACATAACTCACATAAATTTGTTGAAATGAAGATCATTAATTGTAGAAATTAACCTCATAATTTTATTTTTTTTTTCTCAACAAAAATTCTTTCCAAGTAGACTTAAAGTCTGATCAATTTTAAAAATGTATTTCTTAAGATGTTTGAAGCCACAATTTTTAATTTACCAGCTTCCATGGGGATACTCATAAATCTATTAGCAACCCCTAAAAACAAAAGTTTTTCAAATAAATCCTTTATATGCATTTTTAATTATTTTATTTTATATTAATATCTAATTTCCCAGCCGCATTTAGATTTACTTAACTATCTCATAAAAAGAAAAGAAAATACTATGCATCAAACGCTCTTGCCATATTTGTTTTTAAAGAATCTCTTTTAGCACAGTTGGGGGAATTTTATTTTGTGAAATCATAATATTTCCTTCAACTTCCCCTTGAAAAACAGGAAAAACGCCTTTTTGGGGATTGGGTTTTGGGGCATATAGTTGAAAATTTGATAGAATAAGTTGTCATTGGCAATGAGTCTATGTGCCAAGTTTCAGCTCGATAACTTGATAGGAAGTGGGTGTATTGGCTGTCTGAAGATTTTTCCAGCCAGCCACAAAACAAAAGCAAAGTTAATCTAAAGGATTTAAAAATGAAGTAACCTGGTTGCAAAGTTTGCATGATATCATTTTACAGATTTTAAAAAAAATGAAATCTCAGCATAAAATAAATTGAATTTGACAATAAAATAATTTCACTTAAACATTCTCATTTCCATTCTGTAAATCTTTAATTGGCAGAAAAATTCTTATTGCTAACTGATACATTATTTTGCATTTGAACTTCTTAAACAGAGACTCTTCACCATGGCCTCAGGCCCCTTTGTGCACATCTGCCATTTAAGAATTTAACTGCAACCAATAAAAAAGAAGCAGAGGTGGCATTACTGCAAGATATAGCACAGAATTACATCATGGGGCCTAATGAAAATAAATTAGCCTCTATTAAATCCCCTTTGGCCCCTGTTGCCCCCTGGCCAGTCTTACTAATTTTGTCACTGTAGATTAGAGAATTTTTTAATATTTGAGAAATAAAATTTTAAAAAAAAATAACACATGAGAATATAATATAAGACATAAAATTTATTCATTAATGCATACTCTCAATTTCACTGACAAAACATCACAATTTAGAACAAAGAGTGTAACACGCCCACAAAATGTAGCCCCCATAAAATTTTTTCAGTGGTTTTTAATAAATTTGGGGAATAGTTAATACTTCTAGTCATGATTGAACAAAAGTGGAGACTATCATGCATCATGAGAACAATTTTTAACAAAAATCATGATACACATTTTTAATACTGAAAAAACTGATAACCGCTTTAAAAAAAAAAAAAAAAAATCTAAATCAGTTTACTTCATAAAACAGTATATCACTGAATTCAGTCCAATGCAATATCACGTTGACCAGAATCTGAAATTGCCATTAAATGACCCTTCTATCTTAGAATATATTAGAATATATTACTATGCATCACAATTTTTCAGCTCTTTTATTCAGTGTATATTAATATTTGCAGAGGGTTGATTCATATTTCATTGGTGTATTATAAGATATTCTTCATTTTCATAGTTGTAAAACAATATCATGAAAATTTGAAATGCAGCAAAGGATCAAATAATGATTATTAACCTAGTTATTAAGTACACAATGTAAGATTTGTTATGAAATTAAGTCAAGTGGATTATAAACAAAAATTGAATTAAGACCATCTATTTTTATAGTATAATATCACTTGCTTGTTGAGTTTTAAACATAATAAACAATACAAGATGCGTTGTTTTGATTTGAAAAGATATTTAACAAAATAAAGAAAAAGATGCAGTTTAAGCACACATAAGTAAAATACAGAGGCTTTTCTAACCAAGTTCACAAAACTACAGCAACTTGTGTATATTTTGTAATAGCTTTTTTAAAACCATAATGCTTTAACAAAATGTTTTAAAACATTTTTAAAAGGGAAAGCATTCATAAGAACCAGACAGCTTCAATTCCTGTAAAAATTGCTCCATCTCTGCAGTTTTGTTCCTAAGAGAAATGAATGCTTTTTTTTTTTTCCTGACATCACCAAATAACCTTGCATGACATTAATATCTAATATCTTTTTCCTAGCAGCCTTGTTTTTTTTTATCATGTGTACAGATCTTCAAACCATAAGGTACAATAGCAGTCTTTTTCATAGAGACTTGGAGACCCTGGTTTGAAACACTATTAACATAGGTATTCAAAACAGGAGATGTTGGTTATAGAAAAAAAACAACAATAAACTGACTGACATTCTTCCAAGGACTGCAGCAAAAATTTCCATGCAGTTGAATCAACTACAAACTGTATGCTGTTGAATTAACTACAAACTGTATGCTGTTGAATCAACTACAAACTGTATCCTATTCGCAAACCACAGTGCTTAAGAATTTTTACCATTAAATATTCATGGCACTTCGCTGGTGTCACACAAAAATCAATGTTGAGTGACAAAGATAAATGCTACTCCTGAATATTTCACAAGCCTGCATCCGACATCCACCAGCAATGAACTGTAAAAATAAATTAATCTTCCAGTTAATCACTGTTAGTTATGTAACTAAAGATAGTTTAATAGACTCTAGGTGTGTATACAAGAAATACGACCATCTCAAAAGATTAAATGATGGAAAATTCTTATGGTCCGACTTCCCCAATCGTAAACCCATTTAAAACAATATTTTACAAAGCCAATGATGATTTCTTGGCAAAATGACAAATATAATTATTGCACGTCAGCCTGCACCAACAGGTGGCCCCAACACACTATCTACAAACAAACACATGACGTATGACATAGGCTATTATGTAAAAGAAGTAGCTTCACTAAAATAAATGATTCAGCTAAAAATATTATGTCGGTTCTACCCACCAAGCAATTTTAAAAAATACTATGTTTTGACTTGTACTTTCAATTAGTTTCTTTATATTTCATATCATTACGGGATTTATGATTCATCTATTTGCATATAGTACATCATAAAGGCCCTAGCCACCTGATTTAAAATTTATACTAATTTGTAAGTCCTACAAAGTTGGCATTAAACAAAAGGGATTTATTTACATACTATAATTGTTGTTGGCTTCAACAACAAAATTGCTGTATATATTTTTTAATTAAATTATGGATAGGCTATCAGCCATGAATATATTACAAGTGTGATGAATGGTAAATAATACATAAATGCTTGCAGTAGTGGACAGCGGGCTACAGAATTCGCACCATTGAATTTTCAGATAAGATTAACAGGACAAATAAACAGTGGCAGATCCATGACCACAAAAAATGACGAGTAGGGTATGCACCCATGGGTGAGAGAGAGAGAGCTCCATCGTCACACATTTCTGAGAGGAGTGTGTGGGTGTGTGTGTTGGGGGGGGGGGGGGGGGGGGGTGGGGGTGCCCCCCCCCCCCCCCCCCATGGATCCACCACTTTTAGTAAAGCAAATAATAAAAATATTCATGCCAATATCATAGTTCAATGCATTTATGCAGTAATGACAGTAATATAATAATTATAATAATAGTAATTAAAAAAAGATGTGATGAACATTTATTTTTTTCCATCAATGAAACAATGGGTTGAATGTGTGAGACAAGAGATGCATAATACTTAGAAGTACAGCTGTATGATTTTCAACCCATGACTAGCATTTA